AATGACTTTATAATGACTTAATAATAAAATTAAACTGTAATAACCAAACCAAACCAACCAAACTTGCTGATAATAAAAAAATCTTGGACAAAAAGTTAACGCTACCAGCGGGATTCGAACCCGGGACTACAGTATATCAGCCCGGTACGCTAACCAATAGACCACCGAGGCCGACGAATGTCGAACGTTTTGTTACGGTAATGGCGTTCCCTCAGCTAATAAGAAGATCTCAGCTGTCATCGTAGCCTCTTCTATACCTCCCCTGAGTAAATACCATAAAATATCGTAGGTTCTCTGCAAATAAAAAATAAATAAAAAAGAAAAACTGTCCCCCTGAAGATGGGTAACTTAACCTAAGTACGAAGGACACAGGTCTAGTAGCTAGAAGAAAGTTATACATTACCTTTTTAGGTCTAGGTAGGCTTTTTCAGGCTACTTTTATTTATTTGAACTTACTAGCGTAGGCCTACACTCCCCGTCAGTGATAAACACATTAAACACAGATTGTTGTATGAACAAATAAACACAGTACTGTGACATTAGCAACAGATTTTAACAAAACACTTGACAAGCCATACCTAGGCTAGGCAACTTATATCAACAGACACACGTAATACAAACACTTCACATGACAGAGCACTTCCTCGCTTCACCGCCTTCCTTCAAAAGTGTATACTGTGATTTTTGAAGTTAAGATGATCTACCTCAGCCGCAGTCTGTCTCACCATTCTTCCACTGCCTTGGTACAATCAATAAACACCTGTGAGCCCAGCTTTATGTATGCTCGTATGTCTTGATCTTCACTTCTCCGTTATCTTAGCCTAGTCCAACTTTGTTATGGGCCCTTAACAGCATTATTATAAGTGGGTTAGCTCTTTGAAGCAGTAGGTTCCAACTTATTGGCCTATTAGTGTCCATAAGCTGGGTTTGCACATCACATAATCGACTGAGAGTTCAATATTAAACTCACTAAAATCTGTCTCTTATTCAGGCCAAATTCTAGAAAGTTCTTTCCTATTGTTATTCAGATTCTTGTGTCCATTGAGTTTCATTTCATCCGATCTTCATCCCTACTGAGTTAACTTGTTGTAGGTTAAACGTAACTTATGAGATTTGAGTTGAATTGAAAATGCTATTTGATAGCGATTGCATTACTTACGTAATTTAAATGGATAGGATTTTATTCACAAACTTTTAAAACCTATCTAGGTTGCCGTCAGCAGATTGGACTAAACATAATGCAGCATTTCTGATTCTGAGTTGGTGAGTTGCAGATGGCCGATGAAATGATGGTATAAATGACAAAATACCTTATTTGATAAAAAAAAAACTTTGTAGCCTGTTATATCGTTATATTATTGAGCGGAGCGAGCGAAGCTCTTATACGTCGACTCTTATGCATTTTGTAAAATGCAAACTCCTCCTAGACGGCTGAATCAATCGTTTTCAAATTTTGCATGGTGGTAAAGACCATGTCGGTGAGTGCCAACATCTATATGGTGTTAAAAAAGTCTCTCAGGAATCCACCCCACTGGGTCTCAAAGTTTCAATGTAATCCTTATGGAAGCAGTATTCGACACATAAACAAAGACATATGATCAGCTGTTGACTTTTGAATGCAGTAGATAAAGAAATAGCTGATAGCATTATTCCACAGATATTAGAACAGAAACGGTATGGATCATAAATATAATCAAATGACGACACTAGCTTGAGGTCCGTGACGTAGGAAATGGTAAAATTGGGTGGTAATGGTAATATTGGTTATCATTTTGGATAGAGAAGAGATAGCGACCTCTAGTTTTCACCATTCTTTAAGTTTTCGTAAACTCTTCAAAATGAGGTGTCACTTGCAGGGGGTTTACATTTAAAATACAGGGTGTTTTGAAAAGAATGCCGGGATTTCAAACGGTCATTGCTCGGGGACTATTCAAGATAATTATACGATTTCAACATCAAATTGAAAGGAAAAGAATACAGTTTTTCCCTCATTCACTCATACAATTCGGATTAATTTTATAAAATTCAGATTTTCATCAATCTTTTATGAGCGTAAAACTGGCAAAGTCCTTACGCTTAGGGCGATCTGATGTCTTAACTGAATCTTTTTCGGCACAAAAACTCTATCTTTAATAGATAACATCATAAAGTGACCAATTTAGGTTTGTTAAACTGAAGACTTCGTCGGGCAATCGATTATTTTGGGCTTCTGATGGAGAATGGTCGGATTTCTTCGACTATGTCATCTCCGGCCAGGTAAAAACAAAAACAGGTGTCTTTTCAAAACACTTCGGTACCACGAAACTCATTAAACCAGCTTCAAGTTTCTTTAACATCAAATAGATTTAAAATTTAGTTTAATTTAGCAATAGATACAAACTCTGCGAACTACAGTCCGTGCCTTCTGTTGCGCCGTAAACGTCGTACTCGTCGTACTGGCGAGTGGCGTCAAGCGTATGAGTCACAATAGCGACCTATCACCCAGCACCTGATTTCATGCATGCCAAGGTCAAAGTTTCCTCCCTTGGTACACGGGAAACACAACTTAGTTACTTTAGCTTCAATTTGACGTATAAAACATTTAGTTACGTTGAATAGTATCCAAGCAATAACCATTTAAAATACCGGCATTCTTTTAAAAACACCCTGTATGTGAGTTGCCCCCCAAATCCCCCCTTTTGGGTGGACACTCAAAAATTTCAAAATCATAAAATGAAACTTCCTGATAAGATTGCACGACCACCAAAAGGATGTCTCTGTATATTTACTTGGAAAAATATTAGATGGGGGGGTTTTGACTTTTTATTCACCCTGTATATGTGTCCGTTAGCGCGATAACTCGAGCAAAAATGATCCGATTTTGATGAAATTTGGTACAAACGTGTAAACCTATGTTTATTCAAACGAGTTCGCGATCCAGCATAGTCGGACCATGGGAACGGGGGTTTATGGGGGATTTTATGGGGTAAAAATGGGGTTTTCCCATTTTTGACCCTAAAAACAAAATATTTTGCAATTTCTTTTCAAACCGTTTTGTAGAGCTTAAAAAAATAAATCATTTAGTATATTGAAGCGCTGCCTAACGGTCACGGAGAAAATTCAAAAATAGTGTAATTATTTAAAATTCCCATGTTATTCTTATGGAGAAAATGAAAATTGTTGTAGTTTACTTGTTTATGGATATATATTGATAAAATTTGGCAAATTTATTTATTTCATCCTACACTATTCAAGTATGGTCAAAAAACACTTTTTACCTTCAACGTAGCAGCAAACCTAAGCACTCGTTAAATCTAATGAACATTAATATATATAAATAATAATATAAATATTTATATAGGGAATAAATATGTCTTATTTATGGAAATACTAGCAGAGTACGGTCCGTCCTTTGTACGGGGTTGGAAAATAAGTATAAAATGCTTATTGCAGTTATATCCGATCTTTGCGTTTGCGAAGTGAGAAAACACGGTTTGAGAAAATATGCTTCCTCAAATTTACGGTATGCGATAGTATTACACATCTACCATAATGTTCTACTACTTCACCTACACAATAGAGAAAGATAGATTATTAATAATTCGCAAAATATATCATAAACTATTCATGAAATTAAAAACATAACTATAAACAATCCTACTTTGACAGTTCTCATTGTGTATCACAGTTTTTTGTTGCTGCTTTGTTCAAATTAGCTGTTTTCATAAATAATGAAAAAATAATAGTGCTGCACCCTGTTGATAAATCTTATAAATTTTTAATGCTTTTGCATATCATAGAACCAACTCTTTTAGTTGAAACAGCTGGCTAAATTCTTTAATTCCCTTTAAATATGAATACTCATAAGGTTAACATGGGGAACTGCAGGGCCACTGGGGGCGGAGCCCAAAAGGATTTTTGAGATAAGAATATGACTATATGTTAATCGGGAACGTGAGCTATCATCATGCCAAATTTCAGCCCAATCCGACCAGTATTTTTCGTGTTTACTTGTCACAAACATACATACATCCATACATCCAAACTTTCTCATTTATAACATTAGTAGGATTTTGGTAAAAATGTAATCAGACAAGTTGAAATTCGCTTAGTCTGCAGGTTTGCTGCGGCGGGGGTATTTTATTTCACGATTCCAAATCAACCACTTGTCGGATTTTCATGATTTTTGTGTTGAAAGAAAGATAATTTTGAGAACTAAGGAATATCGAAGCCATAATTTTAGTTTAGGGTTTCAGTTTTTTAGAAATAAGGTTTAAAATTTTGAAAATTCTAGCAGCCGACGCTAACATTTTACTCTAGCTTTTGATATAATACCATTTGCTTAAAGTAACAGCTGTAAACATTCAGCGTTTTTGACACAAATTCAGCATTTGGATGAAAATGAAATGACATATGTAGAATTGACTTATTTACTATGTGTAATGCTATAATAATTGATACGTTCGTTTAGTCGGTAAGAGGATGAGAGTTTATTTAAATATACATAATCAAATACTAAATGTTCTAATTAATTTTTTAAAGCAGTCTTTAAAATATTGAGTTTTTTTAGTGAAATATAATTTGTTATAACTAACAGCTGGTCGAATAAAAAAATATTCCATAGAACTATGAGGTTAGTTTATATACTCTGTGATTTTGTCATTGATTATAGGAAATAAGTAAGATTCTATAACCATTGCTGTATACGAATCGAAGTACACGAATCTTGAAAAGAAAGCTTATGAAAATTGTTTTACTACTCTACTCAACTTTTGAGAAAAGTTTGGGAAAATAACAATGATCACATTTTTCAATTCATCTTGGAAGCTTTTTCTTTACTATAAATTTTGAACTGCTTAAACTTTGCTTGAATTATTAACAGACAAACTATATACAGGTTTAATGGACTACTCAATTCCTGTACGTAGGACGGGCCAACAGCTCGTTAATTTTTAAAAACTGATTGCTCAATGCTGACAGCAAATTATTGTAATTTATTACTTTGTGTGTTATACTTACAGCCGCTATAGAGTGCTACGATCTGGACTTGAACTTCTGGACTACCACAGAGAAGTATCCTCAGGACATCTGGGAACACACGTGTGTAACATTGTACATCCCTCGATGTAGAGATGACATGGAGGTCATCCCTTCACCCACCTCTGCTTGCTAGGAACCAATCTGGACACTTCTCAAAAACATCTAATCAAATAATAGATGTTAGAATCTAAATTTAATAACATAGAAATTACAAGACATTAAATGTTTGAGTTTTATGAAAAGTAAAAGTATAATTTTTAAGTTAATTTTCTTTCTTTTTAAAATCTTAACCATATTTATTTGTCATCTAGCATCACAAATTTGTTTATCACAAACAGGTTATATTTATATTGCAGATATAATATGCTGTAAGTTTTACAGATTAAATAATTACAAAGATATTTTTGATTTTTCATTTTGAAAATTAGTTTACTTTAAGGAAAGGTTAAGAGGATGAACATTTTTTGTTTGCTTGCAGTGAATTATGTAAGTTTATATATTCTGTACATACAAGTTCAGTCAAGTTTCCATCATGACTTATTTTTATTTATTGTAGTTTTGTTTATTTTTATTGTAGTATTCTAAGAAAATATTAAATTAATATACAGGATGTTAGATAAGTTCCGAGTGACATCAGTATATTTTACAACATCGACAATGGAACTTGTCACCTTTTTGAACTATGAAATTAATTCAAGCGACAAAATATAACTCCAAAACTTAAAAAGTAAACTCAGGATCTAATTTTTATAAACTATTAACTCTACCGGGTCATCTTAGATATTTATAATAATCAATACTATCTACACAGATCTAATAATGCATCTATTTGATTGTAGATTAAACTTTAACCTTGTCTAATTTAACGTATTACGAGGCATCTATTTTAATTTTTATTTATATTTTAGCACTGCATTTTCATTGCAGTTTTGCTTTACGTCCAAAACTAAAGACAACTCTATTTTGCTGGGGTAGTTTGGTCAGGGCTCCAACTGTAAGCACCATTGAGTATCATCTTATTTCAATAGTCTTAATAAAAAATAAACAGCTTTCAAATCAACATTAAAAGAAAAAAATTGGTTTTTTTAATTTTTCTTTTTTCAATATGAGGTGTTGTTTGGGGTGTTTCCTTCTAAACAAATTATTTCCTTTAAGTTTCATCACTTCAAAAGGTGTACCACGTTCTATATTTAATATTAAAACGGATATTGAGGCACCCTACACAGCTTAAACAAACTGTATATTATTATTTTACCAAAACAGTGAGTCTTTGTAGACTAGTGTAACTTATTGTTATTAAAATACAAATCTTGGTTTTTTCAGCTAAAAACTCGTTGCTGTACAAAGTTGAACATTTTACTCATACCAACATTTTTAATTAAAAATCCCTTAAGTAGTAGTTAAAAATTGTTGTTTGATAAAATATGTGTAATCAATCAAGTAAATAAAATTTATAAAAAAATAATAATATAAAAAAAAACTGAAGAGCTTTGCACTTTTTTTAAAATAATTTCTTCACTTTTTTACTTGTTGGTAGGCTAGTGCATCTATTTGTTGGCACCTCAAGTTTAAAGGTAAAGCTCATTATTGTCAATTACTAGAGATAACTATTGAATACACTTTTTGTTATACATAAATTAAATCCAGTTAAAGGTGTTAAAGTAGCTGATATTCGTGTACCTATGTCTTGTTACTGTGATTTTGTAGTCTATTATTGTTGTTTTTATAAACCTTTTGCTCAGCCAAGCTTTCATATTTAATAATTACTTAAGTTAGGCAGTATTTAGTATGACGTTGTTTACTCTATTCAGTTCTTTACATACATGAAAGTTCAAAATTGAATTAGCCTAATTCAGGTGATAATTTAACTTTATTTTGTACTAGGCACTGATCAATGTACTACCCTTGTAATATTGTGCTTTTCAACTGCAATATACTGGAAATATGTTTACGCCACACTACACTGTTTTGACAAACTTCCTACGAAAGGATTTAGTCCAGAAAACAGCTGTCTGCCGTCAGCTTAATCAAATGGGTTTTCATTACGTACTGCTGTACTGTAATGAGTTTTACCGGACACCAACCAGCTGATTATATACTGTATTTGGCAATGAGTGAGAGTGGTTATAAACAAAAAAAATCTGTCTTAGAGGTTATGACTAGTGATTGTTAGTCCTTGAGTCGGTGATAATATATAAGGATTTGTACGGATTTTGTAGTATGGTGTAAAATATCGTACGTCACTCGTCCAAAATTTGTTTACCGGACTCGAATGATAATCCCGTACTCGAGTTCGTCTTGCACGGGAACAATCACACTCGTCCGGTAAACACCTATTTTCAGGACTAGTAACGTAATATACTATTACATAAGCTCTATGTCAAGGTGAACAAGTATTTTAAATAATAAAAAGGTTAAATACCTGTTGTACTGTCGGTCATCTGTATTTAAACCTTGGTCGCTGACTACACAGTACAACAGGTATTTAACCTTTTTATTATTTGTATCGGTAGGCTAAACATGTTTAAAGTATTTTAAATTGTGCAAAACAAATATCAACCCAAAATATTCCCTCCTCATTCACTAGATTAATACTGTTCAAAATTTGTTACAAAATTGAGGACAGAGGAATTTGACTCGGCTTGATATTTCAACATACGGTTGTCTTACATAAGAAGTGGAGGAGGTTGAAAGTAGACAAATATCTTTCAACATAATGTATATTGGCAGCTTCCAAATTTTAAACTGAGGTTGTTAAATAATTGTTTATCCTTGTTAAATTTTAATAGATTGTAATATATGTTTCCTATTTTATTTATTTTTATGTGCCTTGTGTCGGTTCACCAGCTAGTGTTGACTTGCCATATAGATTAAGATTTTGTATGTAATTTAACTTTGTGATCTAGTATCATTAAAAATTGTATAAAAAAACTGCTTTAATTAACTCATTTAAATTTTACCCATTTAGATAATATACAAATAAAATTATAAACTAGTAGGCCTACAGTTAATAGTTGAAAAGGCACCTTCAGTATAATCTCAATAAGTTTTAAGAATAGTGTGCTTTGGCGAGTGAACTGATCTAGTGGTACAGCATGGGACTTATGTCTGTGCACAGAGCATAGAATAAGTATAGAGTCGCCACTCCTATACCCACAGCTATACCAGTAATGAAGCCGATTTCCACCATCTTGGTAAGAGAGTCGGGATAGGCACTTTGAAAACACAGCGTCATTACCACTGTGTTATTCTATGCTACTTTATGAATTAGATGAAGCTATCACTCCAAGGATACATATTGAACTATCCCCCCTTCGATATTGACCTAGGACTCTGCCCCGCAGGCATTCAATGTTCTGAGGTGAGAGTTTTAAAAGTAAATATTGATTGGTGGTTTCCATGGTAACAATATAATGGTTTAAATGTAAATGTAGACCGGGCCGGTCGCCATCTTGGTACGAGAAGCCTGCTTCACTCCAGACGGCAAGTGCCGCCTCTATATTTATTCTACGCTCTGTGTGTGGTCTGTGAGGTCCTGGGCTCAAATCCCGCCAAATTACCAATGGATTTGATCTAAGTGATAATGCCACAGTCCCAAGTTCTAGTCTGAAGTAATGTGAAAAACAATACCGGGCTGGAGTCAAGTGTCCTAGGACAAAAAAAGAATAGTTTGCATTTGCAATAACACAGTTGGTAAAGTCCAATATGCTTTTTAAATCACAGTTAATGCTGTAACATATTTTCTGAAATAAATAATTACTGTTATTATATTCCACTAATGACTTGTAAAGACATAAGTTCCTAAAAAGCTCAATAATATAAAACAAATTAATAAATAAAAGATCTATTTGTCAGAATAGATATCCCTGTGTTATATCTCCTAGTCTGTTGATATGATGAATATTTACTTTTGACTAATTTAATTGTCATATGGTTTTGTTTTGTTGTTGTCATAATAGTTTTATATGAGTTGTTGAAAATAGAAGTGTGGTTTTAAAAGTCTAGTTTTTTCTAATTTTATCTTTATAGTTTTCATCACTTAAAGAAGGTAGGTGTGTAGTGTAAAACAACATTTGGCGACCGTGACAGGACTTGTTTTTCACCTATCTCTATGATGGAAAATCTAAAGAAAAATAGAACAGTATATAGGGCTTATTTTTCTAAAACATTGAACAAACTAAACAGTTTAGTTGAAAATGAAACCACAGACAAAATTGAAATTCAAACCACTCTAAAGCTTTTGGAGATAAAGGTTGATGAACTCCAGGTTTTGAATTCTCAGATCTTTGATTTGTTATTGAATAATGATAATGTTTCTGAAGATGAGCTGTTAGCTGAAACAATCTTAGCTGGAGAATATTTAGCTTTGTTTGAAGCTGTAAAATTAAGAGTCCAGAATTTACTACAACAAAGTAACGATGTAGTTAGTGCTCATTCTGGATCTTGCTGTAACAATGCTAGTAAGAAGAAATTTAAGCTCCCTAAAATAGAGATTAAAAAGTTTGATGGAGATTTGATTAATTGGCTACCTTTTTGGAGTCAGTTTAGCAAAATTCATAGTGACTCAGACATTGATTCAGAGGATAAGTTTCAATATTTATTGCAATCCATAGTTATCGGATCAAGAGCTTTTGATGTAGTTCAGAGTTTTCCTCCGACTGGTGCAAACTATCCAAAAGCAATTGAATGTTTGAAAGCCAGATTTGGTAAAGATGACCTATTGGTAGAGGTTTATGTCAGGGAACTCATGAAAATTGTTTTACAAAATGCTCTAGGAGGCAAGAACACAATGAACTTACAAAGTTTATATGACAAACTTGAGTCTCATATGCGTGCATTAGATACCTTGGGAGTTACAACAGATAAATGTTCCTCCATGTTATACCCGTTAGTTGAAAGTTGTATGCCTGAAGATCTCTTAAGGGCGTGGCAAAGAAGCCCTTTGAAAGTAGGTACAGACCCTCAGGAAAGACTCAGCAATTTAATGAAGTTTATGTTGTCTGAAGTTGAAGGGGAACAGAGAATCGGTCTAGCCATGGCAGGTTTTGGGATAAGTAGCTCTGGGAAGGAGAAATCTTTTAAAAGGTCATCTCAAACTCAACCAGGTAAGATAGACATACCAACAGCTTCATGCCTCATGTCCTCTGGTAAAACTCAAAACTCTTATACAAAAAGTGTGTCTTTTGTGATAAGAATCATAAGAGTAGTAACTGTTTTGCTGCTCAGAAATTGCCATTGTCTGATAAGGTGTCCACTTTAAAGGAAAAGAGGTGCTGTTTCCTTTGCTTGCAGCCTGGTCACCGTATTAAGGATTGTAGAACTCATTTGTCATGTTCTAATTGTAAAAGGAAACATTATCCTATAATGTGTCCTAGTATTCATTCCAAAGAAGTAGTGAATGAGTGTGTAAGCAAATGTGTTGATAAGGTATCTAAAGAAATGACAGTAGTGGAAGATACCGCTTTGGCCAATAAATCAAGTAGCAGAGTGAAAGTGTTTCTGCAAACAGTAAAGGCAAGATTAAGAACCCCAGGTAGTAATCAATTTGAGACTGTTCGCATTCTTTTTGATTCTGGTTCACAGCGTTCTTGCATTTTAAAGGACTTGGCTGAAAAAATGAATTACGAAAGCTTAGGAGAAGAAACAATCATACACTCTCTTTTTGGTAATGTCAAATCTGGTGAAGTAATTCATAACAGACATCGTGTGTTTCTAACCAGTCAAGATTACAGTTACAACTGCAACTTTGAGGTATTGAGTCAAACTACCATATGTGGGGAAATTCCACCTGTTACCGAAGGTGCCTGGATACAGGAACTTATAGAGAAAAATGTTTCTCTGACTGACATACATGAGACCAAGCTACCAATTGGTATTTTGATTGGAGCGGATATAGCGGGTAAACTATTCACGGGAAATACGATTCAACTGAAATCTGGACTAGTGGCTATGGAAACTCTTCTGGGATGGACACTGATGGGTAAGGCTATAATTAGTGGTAGTACAGGTTCAACTACACTCTCCACTGTTGTAACATCAATGTTTATTAATGATGCTGACATATTGGAACTGTGGAGATTAGACACTATAGGCATTACTGATACAAGTGAATCAGTTTCCAAAGAGCAAAAGGCTTTGGCAGTTAAAAATCATTTTATAAAAACTACCACTATAAATGAAGAAGGTCGATATGAAGTAAGTTTGCCCTGGGTTTATTGTCATCCTCCTTTGCCTAGTAACAGAGAGTTAGCCGAAAAGAGGTTATCAACAGTTGTAAAGAAATTGGATGGTAACAATTTTACCGTAGACTATGACTCAGTTTTTAAACAGTGGTTAAGTGATGGCATCATTGAAGCTGTACCTTCTGACGATTTGAACAACAACTTTCACTACCTGCCACATAGACCTGTAGTGAAGGAGAGTAGTATTACCACACAAATTCGTCCAGTGTTTGATGCATCAGCAAAGACCAAGTTTTCACCCTCATTGAACGACTGTATTGAAAATGGACCAAATTTAATTGAACTGATTCCTTCTGTTATGATGCGTTTTAGGGAAGGGAAGTTTGGAGTTATTGCTGATATAGCAAAAGCCTTCTTACAGATATCGTTAAATGTACAAGATAGAGATTTTCTTCGGTTTTTATGGTTTGACATCAATGAAAGAAGCCGAAGTATTGTTTACCGCCATAAAAGAGTTGTTTTTGGAGTGAAATGTAGTCCATTTCTTCTAGGGGCATTAATTGATCTGCATCTTCAAAAATCTATGACTTCTCAGGAGTATGATGATAATGTGGTAAAGAAGCTGAGTAAAAGTTTTTACGTGGACAATGTTTCGACCAGTGTAGATACTTATGAGGAACTAAAACACTTTGTTGAAGAATCGAAACAAGTTATGGCTGCCGCTAAGTTTGATTTAGGAGGATGGCATGCCACGAGCGTCATTGAAGAAGGAGATACCAAGTTCGTCACTAATGTTTTGGGAGTTCAATGGAACTATATTGAGGACGTTCTGTTTTTTAACCTCACGAACTGTATTAAAGATTTGGACGTGTCTCGAATCACAAAGAGAGACATTTTATCCATATCTCACAATATCTTTGATCCAATTGGTATCCTTTGCCCTGTTACTTTGTTTCCTAAACTTCTTCTGCAAAGTATGTGGGACTTGAAAATTGACTGGGACACTGAAGTAAGTTCAGACATCAGTAAACTATTCATACTGTGGTATAATGAGCTAAGCGCTCTTGGAAAAGTGAAAATACCCCGATGGATAGGTAAAATGACTATGGATTCAAATGGTTGTAGTATTCATACATTTTGCGACGCAAGTAAAGATGCCTATGCTACAGTTATTTACTTGAGAGTTGAAATTGAAGATGAAGTAAGAGTCCAATTATTGTCTGCAAAATCAAGAGTTGCTCCTCTGAAGAAAACCACAATTCCAAGATTGGAATTATTAACCGCCACGGTGGGAGCACGTCACACAAGCTGGACGAAAAAATCAAAGTTCCAAAAAGGTTCATGTTTGAGTAGTAATACTACTCGGTGGGAGGATGTTATATCTCCTAGTCTGTTGATATGATGAATATTTACTTTTGACTAATTTAATTGTCATATGGTTTTGTTTTGTTGTTGTCATAATAGTTTTATATGAGTTGTTGAAAATAGAAGTGTGGTTTTAAAAGTCTAGTTTTTTCTAATTTTATCTTTATAGTTTTCATCACTTAAAGAAGGTAGGTGTGTAGTGTAAAACAACACCCTGTACGCCATATCTTTTGTGTAAAAAACAGTTTGTTGTTTGTCTTTGTTTGACTTTGTTGATGTTATTTTCAATAAATCATTTGAATCACTACATAGGTTTAACTCTGCTAAAGGCAGCAAACATATAATCCTTTTGTGAATAAATGCTGGTTTATTAAGGTAGCTTCGGTTTTGTGGTTAATGGTGATAAAAAAAGACATCCCTTTATGTGGTTATGTGGTGGTATTCCTCTTAAAGGTGTGATTGACGTTACATATTCTATCAAATTATCCTTATATATAATACGTGAAGGCGATTTCTACGAAACACTACCGGTACTCCTCCGTTAATAATGGACGGATTTTTACAAACGAGGTGTCAAAATTCAGTATTTTTTGTGTAGACGCCCCTTTTCTCAAATTACTGCAATAAAAGTGCTCGGGCTTTGCCCCACAGGCCATCAAAGTTGGGGTTTCTCCCATAAGATTAACATGGGGGAATCGAAATATTTAATTTGAATCTTTGTCTCCACTAATTTGAGAGAACGGCTGGGCGTAGAAACTTGGTAAAGGTGTCCAAAGAACGGTATTGGTCTATAGATGAGTTATCAAAAGAAAAACTAAGTAAATTCTTTTTGGGTTCTGCCCCAGAAGCCTTTAAAGATTCCTCCACAGATTTGTTTACATTTTGGCCATGTGGATAATACCTTTTAATCAAACAGCTGTTCATTTTTTAAATTGTATTTTAAACAACACACATTTATTGGGAGTTACTGAATTGTCCAAAAGAAGTATTTGCAATGTTATTTTCTGTTTTTTAAATAGATTTTCTTCTGTATCATGACATATTTTGCAATAACGTTTCATTACGAAATCAGTGGAAAATCCTTTTATCACAGTAACTCTTACAATTATTTCTTATTGTTACATTTATAATCTCATTGTGACATTTATAATTCGGCTTATATTTCTCCAACTGATTATTTCATCTGCAGAAGAAGTTCATTGTGTTCTTACCGTGTCTAATAACATCTAAACACAGAAACCTTGCCTAAAATGGCACCTATTTTGACAAAATTTTTGTAGTGTCCTATATTACAGACCATGGCCCACTGGGTTGGTAACATTATTGAAAATGCACGACATTTGGCTGCATTTAAGCAGCTACTGTCATGACAGAAAGGTCATATTCCTTTTAAAATATATCACATCAGCCTTTATAAAATACGTTGATTAAAATTGTATGTAAACGTCAATATTTACGTTACAGACAATTTACAGTATTTATTTTTCTTTTTGGAAATGCCACATTGCTATTTCATTTGCATTATTCTTTGCAAAAGAAACCACATGACCATATAAACGAGTAGGCCCCTAACACTCCATAGAGAGATTATATTGACAACTTTATGTATGTATAAGGCTGATACAACTAACTGACATATGTCAAGGAATTCCAGCTTTAACAGTAACCCCACAACCAATTTCTCAAAACTATGCTAGAGGATTATTCATTGGCACAGAAGTACGGTATGAACTGACGCAACAAGACGATGGAAAAATCAAACTTACAATGTATCGGATATACATCCCTTTTAAGTAAGAACGTGTCTTCTCAACAAACAGATATTTTTTCTCAAATAAAATCATAGATTAATCTGCTTTACACTGGTAAAATCGCGGATCATATAGAACACTACAAAATATTATAAAAATTTAGCATTTTTTTTAACCGGAGCAGGTAATTAAAGTGTTTAACTCCAAAAGATCCACCAATACGATTTCAATACTTTTTAAAGGTTCTTCCAGAAGAAGAGATACCAGGAACAAATTAATAATAACTCCGATGACGTAGGCCTACAGCATGTGAAATATTTTATTCATTGAATGATCAACCATATTTTTTAACTAACGCAATTAATATCATTATTGTTTTTACACTTATTACTCTTTAAACAATGCTAAAATGATCAATATATGTATAATTTCACTCAATTTATCGCAGCTAGATGAATTAGCTTGAGCCTGAGCCTTGAAAGTAACCGTCGATTTCGACGCGTTTCACCTAGTGCTTTATTGGCTGATTCTTAAAGCTGGGTTTTCCTAGGCGCGGAAGTGGAGCGCGGAGAGAGGAACACGTACAGCGGACTCCTCTTGTCTTGGGCATTTTAATGTTACTGTTTTCCTAGAAGCGGAGCGGAACACCATGTTAATTGCTTTTCCGCTCTCCATCCTCCGCTCTCTGTACTCCTCTTCCGCGTCTAGGAAAACCCAGCTTTACTCTTTTGCGAGCAACAGACAGTAACTGTTTAAAATCTCCAAACAATATTGTTTTTCCTCCCATTGGAACTTGTCACAGTACTTACTTAATTAACAAATATTTATTTCCTGTACGAACCTATTCCATCTTTATTCCCAGATCATTTTCTAAGAGTAGCTGTTGAGGTTATTCCACTTCATATATTGATAAAACACTACAGTCTCAAATTTAATATAAAGAAAGTGTAGAGTAAATCTAGAACATAATATGTTTTGAAATAAAAACAAAGCAGAAATTTTCCATTTAATCTTGAATCGTTAATTATTCAGTCAATGTGGTCATTTCATGTTAAATGTTAAAATACACAAATTTGAAAATTTTCACAGTAAAATAATTTATTTCCACATTCTATAACGTAACTAAAAAGTCTTAATTATTATAGGCAACGTTATCCCTGGTTTTATATAGTACAGGTAAAATAGGCATGTAATAACAAAAAAATTGGTCCGTTGATGAAACTTGGTGAAAACTTTCCTTTTGTCATAAGAATTAAGAATCTAAAGAGTCCATAAAAAAATTTTAGGTGGAAGGGTGTTTTTCGGGGGGGGGGATATCAGTTTGAAAAAAACAGAAAATTAAATTTTAACGAAATATAGGCATGCGACCCATGTTTTTGGGGTTATTTTTTATGCTGAATCGAATAAAAATAAGATCCAGACGATATAACCTCCATATAAAGAGTTATTGTCTTGATTACCTCGTATATTCAATAATTTTCCCAATTAGTACAGGTAAGATGGTACAAAAACACTATATACAGTAGTGTAAAAATATTGGTCCATTCATGAATCAGGATAGAAACCTTTATTTTTCCATAAGTATAAAGAATTAAAATAGTCCATAAAAATACCCCTGCCACAGCAAGCCAGCAGACTAAGCGAATTTCCATTTACCTCATTGGATTTTCAATTAAATCTATTTAACTTTTAAATAACATTAGTTTTAACGAGTACCTAGGTTTGCTGCTACAGGGAGGGTAATAAAGTGTGTTTTTTTTAGTAAAATGTGAATCGCTTAGTTTAAAGTAAATACGTTTGCCAAGTTTGATGGAAATATATCCATAAATAGGCAAACTACAACAGTTTACTTATTCTCGTTAAGAATAACATAGGATTTTAAAATTTATAATTTATTGAATTTTCTCCATAACCGGTAACTGTAAAAAACCACTTTAATATACTACATTATTTGTTTTCCACTATATTAAAAGGTTTAAAGAGAAATTGAGGAATTTTATGCTTTGAGGGTTAAAAATTAGAAAAACAAATTTTGACCTCATAAACGCCTCCATAACACCCTGTTTCCACGGTCCGATCATGCTGGATCGCCAACTCATTCAAGTTTATTCCAACCTACACCTTCAAGCTAAATTTAATCAAAATCGAACAAAATTACTCAGTTTATCGTGTCCATGGACGTATTTATATATACTGTATATATGAATATAAATTTGAACGAAGGGTGTTGTTTTGTGGTTATTACTATTAAAATTACACCTGGGAAACTTGTATACCTACCCGTTTTCTCCAAAACCCACGGCTGTAAAAGAAAGTACTTAAGAATAAAGATACTGTATCTTAAAATTACATGCTCTATTGTTATCTGTCATAAAAATATTGGGTTTTCCCGTGCTAGTTCTAGATTTTCACCATAATAAATGGCGATGGTAAAATATACTGCAGTAAATATGCCCACCACTAAGTATTAATATAAGTATAAGCAAACAGTTTAGGCGATAAAGAATATATTGTAATGATACAAAGATTAAAGAAAAAAACTTATGGTTAATCATTTACTATAAGAAAAATAAAAAATAAAGAAAAAATAGTATAATAAGGTTTATACTAATTATTTTCTTCACAAAAATGGTTTGCCTTCATTCAAGTCTTTTGGCAAATGAGTGTTGGTTCCTTCTCTTCTACTTCCGCATTCAGACTTGTAAGGCTTTCACACACCTTGCATAGGTGTGTTCATGTGATTACACTCTTCTTGAAGCTGCACTGTTTTCTTAAACAATTGCCTTTGCATGTACATGACACCAACTTCAGAATATTTTCTGGGGTTACATCTTATGTCATATTATTTGGTAGCAACAAATTTCCATCCTGTCGTGTCCAACCCCTCTGTTTAGGCACTAATTTATTACCAAACCATAGCTGAACTTTATTACATCTATATGATTTAACGTGACATCCGACGAGGGTGGCAGCGATTCCAGTTCTGAACTAGCCTTTTTCAAAGACTTTTGAAATAGCCTGTATAGAACTTGCAATTCAATGTAGAGAATATTTACAATTTTTTCTCCCCATACATCGAAAAATAAAGTTTCTCCAGCTTCATTCACTTCAATTTCTGTTGAACCTTTTGAGTTGAAAGTTGACATGACTTTCTCCATAGCAGCCTCAGATTCCAGTATTTTAAGGATCTTTTTTTACCTTTCCCAAATATAACACTAGTGCTGTCACAACCACTAGGATGGCCCAGCAATAAGTAGTTATGGATGTTTAAATACTACTGTTGTAG